TATGTAATGCTGTGTTACGTTGTGTTCTGAGATGCGATGTGGGGTTATGCTACGTTTTGAGCGCTCTCTTACATCGTTGCATGCGCTCCTATGCTGTGCGATGGTATGAAATGGGATGCCACGTTATGTTCAGATGTGATATGATAAGACGTTGTGGTATGTGACTACCTGCTAGTGAATACTATGATATGCTACGATATGCCATGCTACGAAGTGTCTTTCTATGGAATGTGACGTTATGGGATGTTGTGTTAGGTGATGCTCTGTTCTGGTATGGCGTGCATGGTCCTGCTGTGTCATGTTGTGCTGTGGTCTGTTATGTTATGATGTGTGATGGTTCGTTCTGTCAGTTTCTGTCGTGCTCGTCGAAAGGGCGAGGCGGGAGTCTCGGGGGCTTCTCGGTGGACCTGGACATCTGGCGGCCGCGGTATGCTGAGAGGGCGCGCCGGCGCGAGGCGGGAGTCTCGGGGGACTCCCGATGGACCTGGGGATCTGGCGGCCGGTATGCAAGTCTGCTCTTGTGTTGCTCCCATCGTACTTAAGGACCACATCCCAGAAAGAATTTCGAGCATCCAGAAAAGTGTCGAAGCAGTCTCGAAAAAGTGTCGGACGAGTGCCTCCCAGGGCCCGACACGTGCAAACCCTCGAGTTTCGCTACTTCTCTCTGGTGCTCGAAACTCACTCTGGTGATCAAGGCGAAAGCAGGTTGGAATGTCATAAGAAACTGTTCTTTAATCTTTCAGTCTAACGACCCCGGCCTGGCAGGTGGGACAGCCTCCGAGATGAGCAGCGGCATCGGCACCTCCTCTTCCTCCTCCTCCTCCTCGTTCTCGTTTTCCTCCTCCTCCTCCACCTCCTCCTCCTGCTCCTCCTCCTCCTCCTCCTCCTCCTCCTCCTACTCCTCCTCTGACGGGCCACCGCCGGCCTGCGCGGCCCCCGCCCCCCCTCGAGGGCCGCGGCCTCGCCGCCGCGGCACTCCATGACCACGGCCCAGTCGTAGCGGAGCCGCTCGTGGACCTCGGGCCGAAGGGGCGGGGAGGAGGACTTAAGGCTTCGGGGGCGAGGCAGGCGTTCGGAGAGCACGGCCCCGAGGAGGGGAACAAACACGGCGACGACGAGGACCACGACGACGAGGACCACGACGACGACGACCACGACGACGACGACGACCACGGCGACGATGACCACGACGGCGGCGGCGGCGGCGACAACCCAATCGTACAGGTGCCGCTCGCGGCCCTCTCGGTTTCGAGGCGCAGCCAGCGCCGCCGCCGCCAGCAGCGCCAGCGTCGAAAGGCCGAGGAGGTCGAGGAGGTCCAGGGCCCTCCTGGTCCTGCTCGCCCAGTTCTGGAGGCGCTTCTGGCGGAGAGTGGCGCGCTGGCGGGAACTTATCCTGGGTGGTGGTCAGGACAATCGCCAGCCGGTACACCTTTTCTTGAACTGTCGTTGATTTCTGTGCCCTGGTCTGGACATGCGCCTCCAGCCGGCGGCATTTCTTCAGCCGATGTGTCGTGCAGACACGGCGTTGTTGATTGATTGATTGGTGGTCAGAGGTTTGAAGCCGCAGGATGGTCTTTGGAGCCTTCCCTCCGTGCGCCGCGTTTGGGCCCCGCGGCCTCCGAACATGGATCGGGGGCGAATTGCTGGCCCCAGCGACGGGGTCGGGCTGGGGCTGCGGATCGAAAAGGCATGCACCTCGTCGGGTGGCCCAGCGAGGTCGACAAGACGACGCCAGGGAGGGCCAGGACAGCGTCGGATCGGGACATTCATCGGGGAGCGCCGAGGTCCTTCGGCCCCGCCCGGAGGAGGCACGGGGCGCCGCGGCCGGCCCAAGGCGCCTGTGAGAGAGTCCGAGTCGCCGTGGAGCGATCTGCTCCGATCCCAGGCCTGGCCTGAGGGACGGCGCCGGGGAAGTTCTGGGCAGTCTGCCCAGGTTTCGGAAGGTTCGAGGGGGGTTCCCTGACGGGGAAGAGGAGGACAAGGGAAGGTGGAGGAATGAGGCGCTGATTCTCGAATCTGTTTTTGCGACGGGAACACAGCCCACGCCGCTGAGATTCGTGCGCTACGCACGCCCAATGTCGCATCTTCTTCCGCAGCCGATGCGTCACCCAACATGCAGTATGAGTCGACCTCGCGTTCGCAGTCCGCGATCAAGTGCGCACGTGTGCAAGAAATTCCTGCTGGGTATATGGAAAGCTCCTTTTGTAAAGGACAAGGCTCATCGCACACTCAATTCTACTCAAACCAGTGCGATGCCCATGACAGCTCAGAAGAAGACATTCGCACGTATTGAACAGAAGCAACCGCGGCCCTGCGTGATCGCAGAACCCCAACACATGAGTGCATAGCCGATCGATGCATGAAGACGAATACTCGACTGCGCCAAATCCTCAACGCCGAAGACTTCCTACGCTGACGAATGCGTTTTTGATGTTCGTCTGGTTCCCTTTCAGGCACTGCCGAACTGCATGCCCAGGGCGTCGACTCGTACCTTCTCCCGCGATGCTGAAGTTAGGCTTTCGCCGCCCCTCTGCCCCGACCAGCTCTGCCTCGGTCTGAGATGGTCACCTCTCGGGTGCTCTGGGGGGGAGGGTGTGCTTTATCATCTGGGGCACTCGGTGAATGGCGCCCTGTCAAACGCAGCATCCACGCCGACGTAAGGCTGTCTGTCCACAGGACAGAAACAGGCGCAACAACGCCCGATCAGACGACATCTCAAACGTAGCAGGCGACACGACGACATGCCGCTCCGTCGAGAGAAGAACATAACAGACCATAACGTCATTTACTGCACTGGGGCAGCATCCAAGCGAACATTATATAGCATCATGTTACACAGCAGCCACCAATTCACGGCGGTCCACCAAACGAGCATCAAACAAAATCGACCGTACCATAATATCCGCCACCGTGCTTGCAGCACGCAGTGGAGTGCCCCAAGGCGCATGCAGCAAAGTTCAGCGCTGCAGTTGTTTACAAGGTTTAAATGGCCCAGGCTACCTGTTTCAAAAGGATGTATGAGGATTTTTGGGATTCCCCAGGATTCCCTGGGCGTGTCGCGAGCGTCCTCCGGTAGCGCAGCTGGCCAAACATGGGCCCAAAAAGCACCCAAGAGGGCAGAACATGCCTCCGAGAAAACCCAAGAGTGCCCCCATACGCCCAAGATGGCCGGCCCACGAGACCCCGAAGACGTCCCATGCCTGTTCCAAGAGGCGTCCCAAGAAGGCCCCAATAGGCAAACAACATTTCTTTACCGTAGGTTTCGGAATGTTTTCGGCCTTCTCGCCTATTGGGTTTTCCGACGCTGAAAGACGGCCCATGAGGCCACAAGGACCGCCCCAATACGGCCCCAGAGGCCCCCAAGAGAGCCCCAAGAGGGCCCAAAGACCGCCCCAAGAGTGGGCCCCGATTGGGAACCCGACTGGACATTTCAAGCCCTCGGTCCCGAGGGGCCCCCAGGATGCCCCAAGGGGTCCCCAAGAAGCCTCCAAGAGGCCGCAAGAGGCTCCCAAGAGGCCCCAAGGAGCTTCCGAGAGGCCCACAAGAGGCTCCACAGAGGCCCCCGAGAGCGCCCCGAAGAGACCCGAAGAAGCATGCCTGAGAACTCTGACCCACCACCCAGGCACGATGGCGGAATGGGCCGAAGGCCATTCGATCACCGAACGCGACGTGGACGCCGAGGTCAGGCTGGCCACAAGAACAGACAAGCACAATCATAACATAATCGACCGTACAATAATACAGTCAAACGCCACGTGCGCGCCGAGGTCAGGCTGGCCACAAGAACAAACAGCCGCAACACGACCGATTAGACGACATATCCAACGTGACAGGCGTCACGACGTCACGCTGGCCCGTCGAGAACTCAACATACTATTATACTGCATACCACACTAGATCAGAATGGAGCAAACCATAGTTGAATACGACAGAAAAGCCGCAGCGACCTACGAATGTCCAACGCACCATCCGTGCCGACGTAAGGCTGGCCACAGGACAAGCACAGGCGCAACAGCAACCGATTAGACATAGCAGACGTAAAGGGCGTCACGACGTCACGCCGCCCCGTCGAGAGCAGAACATAATGAACAAACCACATGTGCATAGAGCATACCATAACCGCACACAACGTCACAAAGCAGAGTACAGCAAAGACAAAGCAATGCATCCCCTCCAAGCGCGAAGTGCGCGCCGAGCCCACGCTGGTCACAGAAACAAGCAGTAGCAGAAAAACGACCGATTAAACGACACATCGAACATGACAGGAGTCACGACGTCATGCCGGCCAGCCCAGGACAGAACATACCACCATAACATAATATTATTTCCTGCACTGGGGCAGCATCCAAACGAACATACTATAGCACAATACTGCACAGCAGCCGCCAATCCACGGGATCTCACCAAACGAACATCATAACATAATCGACCGTACCTTAATACAGTCAAGCGGAACGTGCGCGCCGAGGTCAGGCTGGCCACAGGAATAAACAGCCGCAACACCGACCGATTAGACGACGTATCCAACGTGACAGGCGTCACGACTTCACGCCAGCCCGTTCAGAACATATCGAACATGATGGAATGTACCAAAACAGAGCAACATGTCATCTGCTGCGCTGGGGCAGAATCCGATAGAACATAATATAGCCTCGTCCTCCTCCTCCTCCTCCTCCTCCTCCTCCTCCTCCTCCTCCTCCTCCCTCCCCCTCCGCCTCCCCCTCCTCCTCCTCCTCCTCCTCCCTCCCTCCTCCTCCTCCTCCCTCCTCCTCCTCTCCTCCTCCTCCTCCTCCCCCTCCCCTCCTCCTCCCCCTCCTGCTCCTCCTCCTTCAACAGGCTGCATACTCTCTCCGTACAGGTGCTGGGGCCTCGCTCGCACCACGCGCCTGTCTTTTCCGATCAAGACGAGCAGGCCGGAGACACGCGCGCAGCGCCGTGGCTGGCAGCCCACCCTGGCCGCCAGGCCTCGGACGGGGCGGCGCCGGTCGGACGAGCGGGGCTCAGACGAAGGGCCTGCCCTGCCGGTGCTTCGTGAGCCACAGCTCGGCCCCCATGCCCTCTGCCTTTTAAGTCGGGCCTGTCCCCCTACAGGGGGATTTTCGACGAAACTTAATAAATACTACAAAAAATTGCCAAAAAATAGCCCCAAAATAGTCTGGGGACTATTTTTTGACTATTCTTTTTTGCCATTTGGGAGTATTTTTGAATATTTCTAATTTTTCGTCGAGAATCCGCTTGTAGGGTGGCACGCCCAACTTAACTCTGCCTGCTTCATGAACTTCATGGGGATCCAGGTGTTGTCCACCTCCGGCTGCGCGCAAGAGCGGCCATGGGTGAGATGTGACCTTCTGCGCGCGGCTTTCAGGGGGCCGCGGGGGGGCCAGACACAAGCGCGCAAGACGCTGCTATCGCATGGCGTTCGGCGATCGGGGACCCCATGGGGCCCGCACTCAGGTCACTCCGGCGAAGGGTTTACCCTTACGTCTAGTCGATGCCTGGTTGAAGCAGTGGTCGATCTTGGCGCCAGGGTCCTTCATGGCCTCCACCCTGCTGAGGCAGGAGATGGCCTCTCCGGACAGCCGGTGGTGGAGCGTCAGCGGGTAGGAAATCCAGGTGCCACTGTGGAACCACTTCAGCTGCCCCTGCCACTCTTGCTCCGTCGTCGCGTAGCCGGTCTGGCCGTCCACGTTGATGTACTGCACGGTGTGGCCTCGCTCGATCAGGGCGTCCACCCAGACGGCGACCGCCTTGTCCTCGTTGAACAGCGGCCACTTCTGCGGGATCTCCTCCTCCAGCATCCTCGAGATCAGCTGGCCTCCGAGGAGGTACCCGGGCCCGCCGTCTGCGCTCTGCGGGTACTTCTCCCTGGGGTACGAGCTCAGCGGCTCGTAGAACGCGTTGAAGGGGTCCCTGCTCGGCGTGCTCGGAGCCTTCATGGTTCCCATGTACATGTGATAGGAATAATTCTGCCAGCCTCTGGCGATCATCGGCCACAGACGGCTCCAAGCGGCGAACGTGTCGTCGTCGATCTTCATGAACAGCTCTTGCTGGCGGAAATTCCGCTGGTACTCCTGCATGGCGGACAGAGTCTTTTTAGTCAACATGCCATCGCCATAGCCCTCGCGACACTGCATGATCATCAAGTCCCCATACGTCTCGTTCTCCAGACGCAGGGGCTCGTCCAGGTGGTCCTCGTGCTCGCAGAGGGCGAAGCGAACCTGCAGCTTCCCCTGCTTGTAGTCCGCCCGCGACCAGACGTCCCGCAGCAGCTGCCGGCGCGAGTCCGCGCCCCTGCGGCTGAAAATGGCGACGAAGATGGACGGCCAGTACCTGTCCGGGTGCCACGTGGCCGCGGCGCTGGCCGCCCGCTGCTGCGCGGCGCGGTCGGACCCCTTCCGGCCGCCCAGCGCCGACATGGGCACGGCACCGCTCGCCTGAGGTCGGGCATGTCCCCCTTACAGGCAACAGTAGTAAAATAATGCCCCAGTGTAGCCAAACATAACAGATACAAATCGTCCCCAGGCGATTTTTGGACCATGTTTGAAGCTTCCTCCTGTAGAGGGACGTGCCCGACTCAACGCTCGCCCCCGCCTGCTCGGGGTGGGCGCCCCTGTCCAGGCCGCTGGGGCTCGGCTGGCCCTCCACGCGCACCGAGACCGCCGCCCCCGGCACGGAGAGGACGGCGGCCCACACCGCCCAAGCCGCGGCCCTGAAAATCCACATACTGACTGACGGAATGGAGCTCGACTGCCAGCTGCCGGCAGGCTCGTCACATGGTTCGGTTACGGCGGGCCGCTGCGGAACGGGAGAGCCCCATCAGTGCTTGAGCCAAACTGGCTACGGCCACGCCGCGCGTTTCGGGGCTCGGCTCTTCGCCCCGCGACGTGACTCGGTTTCGTTCGTCAGGGGCTGCCCTCCTACGAAAACCTGGGGCTGTCAGGTTCTATCGGGGATGGACAGACCCTCCTTTAGTAAAACGTGGCTTCGCGAGAACGACCTGAGGCCCAAACCTGGCGGGCGCGAGCCTGGAAAAGAACGGCCACGGCGCCCTCTCGAGAACCGAAAACGGACCATTCACTAATCGGCGTGTCACTGTTGGGGGTCCTGTCCACCCCCGATAAAATAGCTCTTCGTCCAGGCCCTGTTTTTAGCCGTTCCAGGGGCCGAGGACGGCCTCCGCAAGGGCCTAGATCGATGCCAAAAAATCAGGCAACCCAGGGCACCCAGAGGAGGAGGAGGAGGAGGAGGAGGAGGAGGAGGAGGAGGAGGAGGAGGAGAAGGAGGAGGCACCATCCACCCCCGATTCTAGCGGAACGGCCACTTGCGACCTGGCCCGGCCGCCGCGCCGGCCGAGACCACCGGGCCCCCCGCGCGCAGCGTTCCAGTGTTGGCGCGCGCAGCGGCGGGAACGAGCGCCGGAGGTCTCGGTGGGCATCGCTCGAAGCAGGATCACGCCTGCCTTCCTCGAAACTCTGGTCGCCATGCCTGGGCGCCACTGTCGGCCGTGGACAAACCTCCCTTTAGTGAACCTCCCCTTCGTGAAAACGGCCTGGGACCGAAACCGACGGACCTGGACCCGCAAAACTGACGGCCGCGACGCCCTCTCGCGAACCGAAAACGGCCAATTCCGTAATCGACGTGTCAGGGTAGGAGGTCTGTCCACCCCCGACACTGGGAAGCTGTGCCGGGGCAGAGCCAAGGAGGGGTCCAGGGCACCAGCTCGGGAGACGCATGAGCGTGTTTGCGTGGACACTCCTCTACTCACACAACGGGCTGCTTCAGCCCGCTGAAGCAACTACAGCTTTCACATGCGCTACCCATCCTCGTCCCCATCAGCAGCATGGGAGATAATAAGATATGGCTCAGGTTCCTGCGCACTGTCTGACCGAGAGTAGATGCGGATGTGAAAGTGTCAAGCCCACATGTTTAACCACACACGCCGATTCAAAGCCTTTCGGATCGTAAAAATTCTAAACTCTCGTCACGTGCTGTGCCGGCGAGTTCGGTCTACTACGAACGGCAGCGGCTGCACTTTCAAGCAGGGGGATGTGACATCTTCGTCATCGGTCAAGCACTTTCCTCATTTACTCCTCCCTCCATTTCCCTCCCCCTCGTCATCAGTATTCATCCCACCTGACTCCTCCCTCTTCGATCACAACCCCCATTCCTCCTGTCCATCTCTCTCCCCTCGCTCATCCTCATCCCACCTCCCACCTCCTCCCGTCCACCTGCACCACCGAACCACACCACACCAACCCACACGGGGGGGAACCCATCGGTGCAGCATCGGTGGAGGGAGGGGGGGGACCTGTTACCCAAACCTCCGACCTCGCAACGTGGCTCCCCTGAGGTCTGAGACCCTTCCCCCGGGCCAGGTCTTCAGCGCGAGCTGTCCCTGACGAGGCCCAAGCCGACGACAACACCAGAGGCCGACACCGACGAAACCACCTCCACCTCCGCCGCGACCCTACTTTTGAAGTCCCGAAGCGGTGCGGTGACGGACCGTGCGGTGACCTCGAAATCCCCCCAGACCTCACCGCACTGTCCGTCACCGCACGGTTTTGGGACCCTGGAGGCCCCTGTCGCCCGAGACATCCTCGGAGAGGGACTCGAGTCCCAAAACCGTGCGGTGACCCCGAATCCCCACCGACTGACCGCACGGTGTGGTCACCGCCCCGTTTGGGGCCGCTCACGACGCGACCGCGGGGAGGCCCGGAGGCGGAAGGGGCCCATGGTCCCTGGAAGACACACACACACACACCGCAGACAGATCGGCGGGGCGCCCCCCCCCCCCCCCCGCAGCGAGAGCGCGCGCGCTCCCGGCCCGGCCAGCACGGCAAGCACTGGCGGTGTTGGGCGGCCATCGGCGGTGGACAAACCTCCCTTTAGTAAGCCTCCCTTTAGTGAAAACGGCCTGGGACCGAAACCGACGGACCTGGACCCGCAAAACTGACGGCCGCGACGCCCTCTCGCGAACCGAAAACGGCCGATTCCGTAATCGACGTGTCAGGGTGGGAGGTCTATCAAACTCCGAAGCCAAAGGGAAGGCGGATGCTTGCCGTCGCTCGGACGTCCCTTTCCCGTGCATTGTTCGGTTTCGCGCGTGTGCTTTCTGCTCGGTGGTCCAGGAGGGTCCTCGATGGTCCTCGCCGAGGAACAATGCACACGTCCGAGCGATGCCGAGGGCGCAGGGGGCGGGCCTCCCCAGAGGGCTCAGGAGGCCCTCCGGTCTCGGGCCTCCGCCTTCCGCCGAGAAACGCCGTGGGCCTTCTCTCCGGAGCCCCGCCACCTCGTGAGAGGGCCTGCCCGCCAAGGCGCGAGCTGCAACGCATGGGCCCGATTTCCCACATGGAGGGCTCGACCCGAAGACACCGTCCACCAGAAGCCCAACCCTGAGACCTCAGGACGTCCATTGTTTTTTTTTTTTTTTGTTTTTGTTTTTTTTTGTTTTTCTTTTTTTTGTTGTTTTTTTTGTTTGTGTGTGTGTGTGTGCGTGCGTGCGTGTGCGTGCGTGCGTGTGTGTGTGTGTGTGTGTGTGTGTGTGCGTGCGTGCGTGCGTGCGTGCGTGCGTGCGTGCGTGCGTGCGTGCGTGCGTGCGTGCGTGCGTGCGTGCGTGCGTGCGTGCGTGCGTGCGTGCGTGCGTGCGTGCGTGCGTGCGTGCGTGCGTGCGTGCGTGCGCGCGTGCGTGCGTGCGTGCGTGCGTGCGTGCGTGCGTGCGTGGTGCGTGTGTGTGTGTGTGTGTGTGTGTGTGTGGTGTGTGTGTGTTGTGTGTGTGTGTGTGTGTGTGTGTGTGTGTGTGTGCGCGCGCGTGCGCGTGCGTGCGTGCGTGCGTGCGTGCGTGCGTGCGTGCGTGCGTGCGTGCGTGCGTGCGTGCGTGCGTGCGTGCGTGCGTGCGTGCGTGCGTGTGTGTGTGTGTGTGTGTGTGTGTGTGTGTGTGTGTGTGTGTGTGTGTGTGTGTGTGTGTGTGTGTGTGTGTGGGGAACGCCATGCTTCCCATGGCAAAAAAACATCGCAACCCAAGAAACCCAGGGCACCCCGAAGGCGAGCAGGGTGTCTCTTGGCACGGGCTTCCACTGCAGTGTGATCATTCTCCCTGGTCCTATCTTCTTTGCGCCCGTGCTGCAAAACGATGCCAAAACGAGAGCGGTCCACTGAATCGCCAGAGAACCGTGCGGCTCGCGCGCTGCTGCCCGCTCGCGCCCCGCCCACCTCGGCGCGCCGTGGAGACGAGGGTGGGTGGGTGGTCTCTCTGTTGCGAGGCCTCCGCGGACCTCCAACCCATCCTGTCAGGAGGCCCGTGACGACCCTCTAGGACGAGGCCAGGACGAGGATCAATTCGGGCGAGGCTTCCATCGAGGATCTCCGAGATCGGGCGGCTGTGGAGAATGCCCCGGGGGCCGCGGCCCGCGCTCTGAGAGCGCTCCACGAAGCTCTGGGACGGATTTACCCTCGGTACTCGTCCTAGCCCCGCCCGTCAAACCCACCTTCCTGGGAGGCCCACGACGCTCCTCCGTGGCGGCCCTCCACGGAAGCCGCCCGCGAGGGCCCCCAAGCGGCTTCCGGTCGGGGCAGCCAAACTCGTGCTTCGTGACCAGGACTTTGACTCTCCCGCCTGGACAGAGCGAGGAACGGGGAACGCTTCGGCCCACGGCTGCACCTGTCTTGGGCGCGCCAGCGCCCGGATTTGCCAAACAATTGGCGGCGAGCCTGGGGGAAAGCGAGACGGGGCGGGCCTTCTCAGAAGGCTCGGGAGGCCTCGAGCCTCCCGGGGAGCTCCCTGAGCCTTCCCCGAACACGCAGAAGCGGCTTCCCAGGGGGCGCCAGGGCTCCTGGGAAGCCCCGCCGCCATCTGAGGAGGCCTTCTCCCTCTCATGCTCCCCCCCCCCCTGGACCCGCCGCCCGAACACGCCCCCGTTCGTGCGGCCCTGGGGCCTCCCCCGGTGGCCGCCAGAGGATGGCGGAGGCGGCGGCGGCGGCGGCGGCGCTGGAGAGCGGCGCCCCCCCCCCGGGCGGGGCGGCGACCGACTGTCTGAAGCGCCTGACGAGGTCGGGGTCCGCGTCTCGGCCTTCCCTCCCCGCCCTCCGGGGCAGGAGGAGGGGAGGGGGGGGCGCAGGAGGGAGGGGTGGAAAGGGGGAAGAAGCGCTGCGGGAGCTGGCACGACACTGTGCGCCTGGTCGCTGGTGCCGGCGTCGACCTTGCTAGAAAGAGAGGGAGAGAGAGAAAAACAAAAAAAAAATGAAAAAGAGAGAGAGAGAGAGAGAGAGCGGCGGGCTTCCTCCGGCTCGCCGCTACTCCATCGTCCCTCCCTCCCTCCCCCTCTCCCTCCTCCTCCCGCTCCTCGCCTCGCCGGCGATGGCTCTGTCGCGCTCACGCCTGGCGCTCGCGAGCCCCCGGCAGGGCGAGGATGGAGCTCCTGGACCGAGCCTGGTGGTGCGCGGCGCGCCGGGGACGTCCAGCAGTGGCTCGACCACAACAACATTTCCACACGAAACCCAACCCTGAGACCCCAGGACGTCCACTGATCTTTGGTGCGGGGACATCGCGCCTTCCACAGCAAAATTTCAAATCCAAAGAAAACCCAGGGCGCCCTGGAGGCAAGCCGGGTGTTTCTTGGCATGGGTCTACGCTGTAGAGGCCTTGCCGGCCCACGGCGGCGGAGCGGGGAGCATGCTCAGTGCGGCTACTGCGGTCTCCGTTCCTTTGGCCTCCCGCAGTTCTGGGT